AGGGACGATGAGATAGACCGAGACCGCAGAGATCGCGAGCTGTTTGTGCGAGCAAGGAGGCTAGATGATTACCCCCGAAGCCCTCGCTATGAGGCCGATCGGGGTAGAGGCGACTCCCGCGGCCGATGGGAGAGGGACGGCAGATACGAGAGATCGGACCGAGATGGATATAGGGACGACAGATACGAGAGGTCGGGTCGAAATGGCTACAGAGGAAGTAGATATGAGAGGAGATCGGGACTGGGAACGACAAGATGGGTCGCGCGGACGGTTTGAGCGCGGGGGAGATGCGAGAGAGCAGCGCGACGAGTCGCGGGGATGGTACAACCGAGGGGACCGACGCGATGAGTCACGAGGACGATATGACTCGGGGGACCGCCGGAATGATTCGCGAGGGCGGTATGAGCAAGGAGGGTCTGGAGGAGACCGGCGCAACAATTCGCGCGGTCGGAATGAGAGGGGGGGATATGGCGTCTCATCAGAACCATATCCCAAGTCGCCTGACCCCAAGGCGGCCAGGAATTCGATCTCTAGAGGCGCAGACGACAGGGCATCTACTCCCAGGAACTCATGCGTCTACTGTAGAGGAGAAGATCATATCAAGAGGGATCGCCCGGACCTCAAAAGGGCAATAGATGAGGGACTTGTCGTGCTTGACGACCGCAAGTACGTCAAGTGGGCAGATGATCTGGCAGATGTATCGATGTTCCCTTCGATGAAGGAGAATGTCGAAGCAAGGAGAATAAAGACGAGTAAAGGAATRGAGCCGGTCAGGAGCCAGAGCATCAAGATAATCTTTGAGGGGGATATCGCGACCACACCCATAASGGTGGCAGCCACCAAGTCGGCAAGAGGGTCTACATCGAAGAAGACTGACACGGATTACGTGATGACGGAGAAGGACGAACAGCGRGTCGATGGAGAGGAGGTTATCCTTTCGCCGCGAAAGAGGGGAGTGAAGAAGTTCTTAATGAAGAGTTCGCTGGACGAGATTGACACGGTTGAGCCACTGAGGCGGGCCCTTCGGCAACCAATGCAGTGCTTTATTCTGGAGTACCTGGCGGCATCGAAGCCGGCTCATGATGAATTACAGATAATCACGCGGAAGACTCGCATACCTCTATCAGAGGAGGGTCAGGGGGCCCCTAAAGAGGAAGCTTCTACAGTAGCGGTAACGGGGGTGACTGCCAGAGCRGATCGCATGGCGACAGTCCTTCTCGATGGGATGGAAGGTGTGCCTCCAGACAAGTTTTATATACTTGGTAGCGGGGCCGTAGAGACGATTATAAACGATGGAGCGATTCTCGATGCTGTGATTGATAACGACAGTGAGGTTGTCATCATAGACGAGGACCTGGCAGTACAAGTTGGACTGGGCCTCGATAGGTCATACCTATTCGAGATAGAGACGGATGATGGGAGAAAGCAACAGATCACTGGGGTTTGTCACAAGGCAGCCATAGAGGTCCAAGGGGTAAGAGTGACCCTGCCTGTCTTTGCAGTCAAAAACTGTAGCTCCGACCTGCTCTTGGGTCGAACATGGCTGAGCCACGTGCATGCGGTGACGATAGAGCGACCTGATGGGAGCCAAACATTGTCCATTAGGAAGCCAGACGGGACGTGGGTGATGATTGAGACAGTGGAGCCTCGGGACCCGAGGAACAGAGCAGCTCTCGCTGTGGGTGCAAGACCCAGTGATCAGATTAAGTCGTTACCTATCTCCGGCCGCGCGATGCGATTTCGCGAGAAGAGATTTGGACCATTTCTTACAGAAGAAGAAGGTCGGATCGTGGAGGTGGAAGATTTAGGGAGTCGGCTAATAGCGGACGGCAACTCGTACCCAAAGGAAGGAGATGAGGAATTTGGCGATGTGGTATCCGTGTCTTTTTTAAGGGCTATGGGGGGCTACCCAAGCGACACAAGCAAGTAGCTCAAAAAAGGTTAAGCCAGCGGCGGTGGGCCGCGAGCGAACGGCACTGGAAGGGGTATCAAAAGAAGAGATCGCGAAAGAAATCAAAGAAAGAAAGAAAAAGGAGCCACAACGCCTAACGGAAGAGAGAATAGCAGGGATGGACATCGGAGATGGAAATCTGACCCCACAGGAGCGAGGACGTGTGATAGAAATCCTGAAGATATGTGATAAGGCCATAGCTTTTAGTGACGCGGAGCGCGGTACCCTCGATACGCTAAGCCAGCAAGGATTTATACGATACCACATGTTCCCTGGAACGACGCGGGATGGAAATACGCCCAGAAGGAGAAGGAAGAA